AAAAAAAAAAAAAAAAAAAAAAAAAAAAAAAAAAAAAAAAAAAAAAAAAAAAAAAAAAAAAAAAGAAAAATAATAAAAAAAATATCTCCTTAGAGGAGACAATAAAGGAGACATTAATAAATAGAGGGAAGGAGAGTATAATAAATAATCATAATAATAATATAAATAAATTAATTAATAATAATAATAATAATAAAAAAAAAGAAGAGACAATAAAGGAGACAATTAAGGAGACACTTACTAATAATAAGGAGACATCTATACAACAAGATATATCTATACCTAATAAGGAAAAGGAGACACCTATGGATATAGAGGAGGATATAGATATAAATAAAGAAAAGGAGACAGTTATTATTAATAAAAAAAAGGATATAATTTATATAAATAAGGAAGGAAAAGGAGAAGAAAAAACAGAAGAAATAGATGATGAATTATTTCTTGATGAATTGTTACGGGAAGAGGAGACACCTTATACAGAAAAAGGAGGAGGAGGGAGAGGAGGAGGAGGAAGAGGAAGAGGAGGAGGAGGAGGAAGAGGAGAGGAGACAGAGGAGGAGGAGGATACAGAGGAGGAGGATACAGAGGATGAGACAGAGGAGACAGAGGAGACAGAGGGGACAGAGGAAGAAGAAAGAAAAGAAAAAGAAAAAGAAGAAAAAAGAAAAAGAATAATACATGTATATTGTAATAAAAGAAGAATAAGTAAGGAAATAGATAATAATAATAATAATAAAGAAAAAGAAGAAGAAAAAAAAGAAGAAAAAAAAGAAGAAAAAAAAGAAGAAAAGAAAGAGACACAGGAACAAGAAGAGGAGGAGATAGAGGAGATAGAGGAGACAGAGGAGGAGATAGAGGAGACAGAGGAGGAGATAGAGGAGACAGAGGAGGAGATAGAGGAGACAGATGAGGAGGAGGAAGAAGAAGAAGAAGAAGGAGGAGGAGGACAAGGAAAAGAAGAAGAAGGAATAAATTATAAATTATATAGAGGAGAAGAAGAAGAAGAAGAAGAAAAAGAAGAAAAAATATATAAATTATTTAGTCATGGAGACGAAGAAGATACAGAAGAAGAAGAAAAAGAAAGAAAAAAAAAAGAAGAAAAAAAAGAGACAGAAGAAGAGGAGACAGAGGAGACAGAGGAGACAGAGGAGACAGAGGAGACAGAGGAGACAGAGGAAGAAGGAGAAGAACAAGGAGCAGGAGGAGGAGGAGGACAAGAAAGAAAGGAGAAAGAAGGGGAAGAAGAGGAAGAACAGGACGAGGAGACAGAGGAGGAAGAGGAGACAGAGGAGGAGGACGAGGAAGAAGAGGAAGAAAAAGACGAGGAAGAAGAAGAAGAAGAAGAAATAAATAAAATAATAAAAGATTTAATGACTAATAAAGATTTAGCCCCTAGGGGTGTAATAATAAGAAAACCTTTAGGTAGTTTACCTCCTGCTGCTGCTGCTGCTGCTGCTGCAGCAGCAGAAGCAAAACAGCAACAAAGAAGAAAAGATAGAAAATTACCTAAAATAAATAAACAAATTAAATTTAATGTTTTTTATCCTAATTGTACACAAGGATATATGATTATTGCTAAAGAAATGAACTCCTTAACGGTAAATATATTTAATTAATTAATTAATTAATTAATTAATTAATTAATTATATTTATTTATTTATTTAGGTTTATTTATTTTATTTATGTTTATTTATTTATTTATTTATTCATGTTTATTTATTTATTTATTTTTTGTTTATTTATATTTATATGTATATATGTATATGTGTACGTTTTTCGTATACATATACATATACATATACATATACATATACATATACATATACATATACATATATACATATGCATATATACATATAAATAATATAAATAAATAAATAAATAAATAAATAAATAAATAAGTAAATAAATAAATGTGTATGTTATCATACAGGCGGATCCTTCCTTAGTAATAGCTTCTGTGCCTATCCGTGCTCCCCAGCAGCAGCAGCAGCAGGAACAACAGGAGGAGAAGGAGAAGGAGGGCAATAAGGATAACGAGGATGCCTCTACCTCTTCTTCTTCTTCTTCTTCTCCTCTTCCTAGTACAAGCAGCAGTTCCCTGCCCCCCCGTGCCTCTCCAAAGCAAAAAAAACAGCAGCAGCAGCAGCAGCAACAGCAGCAGCAGCACGTCGTCGTCCAGCAATTAGGCTCATTAGATGACCATCCCTTTTATAGGGTACCTACTGTACTTATTAATGAAGAATTTACGGAGAAATTTACTCATAAAAATTGGCACAAAAAAAAGAAGAGAACATTTAGCGAAACAAATGCATTAATAAATATAAAAGAAATAAATAAAAAAAAAATAATAAAAAAAAAAGAAGAATTAAATAAATTATTATATTATTTAGAGGTATTAGTTAATTATACACTACAAAGAAATAAATATAAATTAAATTATAGATCCCCTAAGGTAGTTGTTGAGCAGCTTGCTGCTGCTCTGCTGCTAACTGATGGTATATTTACTGCTGCTGCTGCACTAGGTCCAGCAGCAAGAAGAGAGACATGGTGGCAACAAATGATTAATACTCTTCCTTCCTTTAATGGATTTTATTACTATAAAGGGAAGGCTAATAAGGAAGCTGCTGCTGCTGCTGCTACTGCTGCTGATAAAGCTGCTGCTGCTGATGCTGCACAAAGTGCTGCTGCTGCTGCAGCAGCAGCAGCACAAAGAGGGGAAATTAGTAAGGAAGAAGCAGATATTGCTGCTACTAATGCACGTAAAGCTTATCGTGATGCTAATATTGCTGCTGCTGCTGCTGCTGCTGCTGCTGCTGCAGTACCTGATAGAAAAACATCCGTAAAAAATAAAGTTATTGCTAATTTATTATTAAATACTCTTTCTTTCTATAAATATAATAAAAGACCTCCTTCTTCTCTTCTTGTTCCTGTTAAACAATTAATATTATGTACTAATGCTGTTCCTCCTCTTAATAAAGGACCATGGAAACATTTCAGGAAAGATGATGAGGAATGGGTCAGAGAGCAGGAGCAGCAGATGCAGCAGGAGCAGCAGGAGGAATAACACCAGCAGCAAGTTGTGTACTAATGCTGTACCTCCTCTTAATAAAGGACCATAGAAAGAATTCAAGAAAGATGATGAATAATGGATGCAGCAGCAGCAGCAATAATAACAACAGTAGCAGGAGCAGCAGAAGCAGGAGCAGGAGCAGGAGCTGCAGCAGCAGCAGCAGCAGCAGCAGCAGCAGGTGATGCTGGTGGTGGTTGTGTATGTACTCCTGCTGTACCTCCTCTTAGTAAAGGACCATAGAAACAAATTAGGAAAGATGAAGAAAAATTCATGCAGCAGCAGCAATAGATGCAGCAGCAGCAGCAGCAAGTGCTGCTGCTGCTGTTTGTGGTTATGCTGCAGCTGTGGGTAGTAGTTGTGCTGCAGCAGTTGTTGCTGCAGCAGCAGTTGTTTTCTGCAGCAGGTATTGCTGCATAGGGTGCTGGAGGTTGTTGCTGCAGTTGCTAATGCAGTGGGTCTTGCTGCAGTTGTTGCTGCAGTTGCTGCTGCTGCAGTTGCTGCAGCAGCCGTTGCTTTTGTTGTTTTGCTCCGATCAAAGGCAAGCTGCTAACAACAGCAGCACCAGCAGCAGCAACTGCAGCAGCAGCAGCAGCAGCAGCAAAATAGCCTCCAGCACCATTATTATATTTATGTAGTTTATTTAAAAAAAAAAAAATAATTTCTTTTTTGTCCTCTTTTTCTTAACCCTCCCTTTTTCTTATTTTATCCCTTTTTCTTTATTTCCTTTTATTTCCTTATTTATCTAATTTTCCCCTAAACCCTAATTATACGAGGGTTTAGGGTTTAGGGTTTAGGGAAGGACTTTCTTTCTCTCTAGGTGGTGTTGCATTCAGGGTTTAGGGTAATTAATTTAATCAATTTAATTAATTAATTAAATTAATCAATCTAATTAATTAATTAAATTAATATAATTAATTAATTATAAATAAGTAAACAAACAAATAAATAAATAAATAAATAAATAAATAAATCGATGTCTTTATAAAGACACGAATTTTAATAAAAAATAAAAATGCAAAGAAATGCATTTTTATAAACAAATTAAAATAACAAATATAGCAGCAGCAGCAGCAGCTGCTGCTGCTGCTGCTGGTGCAGTTGCTGCTGCTGCTGCTGGTGCTTGTGTTGCTGCTGTTACTGCTATTACTGTTATTACTGCAGTTGCTGCTGCTGCTGCTGCTGCTGCGTTCCCATTGGGCACCGCAGCAGCAGCAGCAGCAGCAGACGCCTTGGAAAGAGGAGTCAATTTACTCCTTCTGAGCAGCAGCAGGAGCAGCTGCAGCAGCAGCAGGAGCCGTCACAGCAGCAGAAGCAGCAGCAGGAGCTGCTGCTGCTGGTGCTGCTGCTGCTGCTGTTGCAGGAGCAGCACCATTAGAAGTATTGACTGGGCGATTTTGTATTTGTGTGTCATCTCCATCAACACTACGTTTACGTTTATTCTGCTGCTGCTGCTCTTGCTGCTGCTGCTGCTGTTGCTGTTGCTGCTGTAGGGGCTTTTGCTGCGGTGGTTGCGGCCTTTGCTGCTGTTGCTGCTGCTGTTGTTGCTGCTGTTGCTGCTGTTTAAGCATTAATTGTTTTTTTTGCATAGGAGCAAGAGAGCACATAAGAGGATCTAAGGAAAGAAGACGAGCAACTTGCTGCCAGCAACGATTATAATCTTTTAGTGCTGCAGCATCAAGATGTAGTGTAGCAGCAGCAGCAGGAGGTTGAGATATTGATCGTAAAAAAGACCGGCATACTGCTACCTGCAATTCAATAATAAAAAAAAATCGAGGGTTTAGGGTTTAGGGTTTTGGAAAGGAGAAGGGGGGTTTCTATGATAGTGGATATTAGGGTTTAGGGTTTGTGGCGTACAGCAGTTTCTGTATTTAATGCCATATTAGTAGAATCTAGATAACGAGTAATCCAATTCAACCAAAGTGTACTAGGGTTTAATTAGGGTTTAGGGTTTAGGGTTTAGGGTTTAGGGTTTGTGGCGTACAGCAGTTTCTGTATTTAATGCCATATTAGTAGGATCTAGATAACGAGTAATCCATGGAGGAAGTTTACTTCTTTTATCTACACGAGAGAAACGAGCATCAGCAAAAATCATTAATGCAAAATCCCTCTTAGAACGAATCACACGACCTACACATTGAGCTGCCTGCAGCCATATTCACCACACAAACCCTAAACCCTAAACCCTAAACCCTAAACCCTAAAAATTGAAAAATGAAAATTGAAAATTGTAAACCCTATAAACAATACCCTAAACCCTCGATAAACCCTCGATATGTAAACACCATACATGGCAAATACACCACACAACCACCCCTCAATACAAAACCCTAAACCCTCCAAACACGAGCAACCAGAAACCCTAACCACAGACCCTAAACCCTAAACACAACTGACATACACAGCCTAAACCCTTTGACAAATCACGCATGCACAAGGCAACAACTGCCGGTTATTACAGCAGCAACAGCAACAGCAACAGCAACAGCAACAGCAGCAACAGCAGAATAAGCAGCAGCAGGTACGCTACCTGCCGCATTGCATCGAAAGTTAAAAATTCGCTTTCTTGAATTTGGTAACGCTCCTACAATACAAAACCACCAAACCCTAAACCCTAAACCCTAAACCCTAAATCCTAAACCCTAATCCCGTGATATCACTGCCTAAATGGACTTCTCAACAGAAAAGGCGACACCCTGTAAACCCTAAACCCTCAACCACCTCCCGTATTAACTCGAGCGAATACTGCCACAATCCATCAAACCCCAAACCCTAAACCCTAAACCCTAGCTAACCCTCAGGAAGTCCAAGCGGGCCTTCAAAACCCTCGACAGAGCGTATTGAAAGGGAATGCCAAACAAAACCACACAACGCCCAAAATGTCTGTCAAAGTCGACTCCTTCGGCCACCTTCCCCCTATTCACACAAACCCTAGACCCTAAACCCTAAAAATCTAAACCCTAAACCCTAGACCCCCCAAAAGTGAAGAAAGACTGCTACTGACGCATCTTGTATGAAGCCACAGGATCAATTTGTCTCAAGTACAGGAAGGAAAGCGAGTCGTGCCTCTAAACCCTAAACCCTAAACCCTAATTTCCTCACCTTGCAACAGAGAAGAATACAGCTCCTCTACCACAATCGCATGCTTTCTTAAAATTATAAAGAGCGAGGGTTGTAGTAACAACATCTTTTGTCTCTAAAAACACTAATTTATGCTCCAATACTTGAGCCAAAAAACCATTCTCGTACCTATGAATAGTACCCAAACCCTAAACCCTAAACCCTAAACCCTAAACCTTCAGCTCTACACAGCCCTAAACCCTTAACCCTAAATCCAAACCAACCCCAAACCCTCTACTCTATACCGTTCCCAACCCCAAGCCCTCAACCCCAGTCAACCCCAAACCCTAATCCTCATCCACCCCCAAACCCTAGACCCTAAGCCCTAAACCCTTACCAATAGGACATGGCGGTTTCCATATAAGCATAAGAAGGGAAGAAGCAGACTAAACCATCAGGAACAGATTTACATAAATCTAACAAAAGATTTGCATAATTACGTAATACGCTGACGTCATGACGATACTCAAATTTGGATGTTAAAGGAACCTAAATATAAACCCTCAAAACCCTAAACCCTAAACCCTAAACGCTAAACACTAATTGCAAGGTGTAGTGTAATGGGTAGACATCATCACGCCATACAAGAAGAGAAACACACGACACATGTAAGTCGTCTATCCTTTTCTCGTTTCCTGGGTTTAGAGATTCACTAGGGTTTAGGGTTTACGGCCTCGCTAGGGTTTAGGGTTTAGGGTTCAGGGTTTCATACCTGGTCAGCGCCTCTAGCAACAATCATTGGACAGAAGCAAGCCCTCTCCATTGAGACGGGAAAGGACTCCGCAATCAGCGGCTGCGTCAGTTAGTCAAACACTCACAAACCCTAAACCCTAAACCCTAAACCACCCAAACCACCAAAACCCTAAACCCTAAACCCTAAACAACCCCTAAACAATATCCGAGTAACCTCTATCAGCCCCCCCTCCTCTTCCCCCCTTTAAAAGTGACTGTTCCACCCCATAGCCTGGGCTATATATATATACTATGAAGTGTTTCGGAATTAGTGTTTAGGGTTTAGGGTTTAGGGTTTACAACAAAGGATAATATTTTCGGATATAATTCAAGAGGAGAAATAGTTCCTGATGTAAGAATAACAGATTTAAATCTTTGTAGTACAGGTTGCATAGCTAACGATGCATCTAGACAACATAATTGTAATAAAGGATCATGAAGACCTGATGCCTCGGGGTATGGATCTACTATTACTATAAATCCATCCCTATACACATATACATACACACACAAACATATATATAAACCCTAAACCCTAAACCCTAAACCCTAAACCCTAGGATTTTAAAGGCAAAAAAAAACGAACACGCCAATGTACATCTATATACATATACATATATTTATGCATGCTAGGGATAAACCCTAAACCCTAAACCCTAGAAGCTCCACCCCGGTACTGTACCCCTATCCTTGTTGCCTATGCATGTTTACCTAACCCTTTCCCCAATGCGCTAATACAATATAAGGGTTCAGATAGGGTTTAGCAAGAGTTTAGCAAGGGTTTAGGGTTTAGGGTTTAGGGTTTACCAGTAAGTACCAACGAGGGTACAGAAATCCGCGACAAGAGTTAATGGCAATAATTTCTCCAAGTCTGTTACTTCTAACGCTAATAATAAGGCCTAATATAAATAAATAAATAAATAAACATATATAAATGAATAAATAAATAATAATAAATATATAAATATAAATATAAGTATAAAATAAATATAAATAAAGAAATATTGACCGACAAAGATCAATCCATGAACAAAAAAAAGAAAAAACAGGAAAAAAAATAAAAGAATATAAACGAATAAAAAAGAATAAAAAGAAATAAAACAAGAATAAATAAATAAATAAATAAATAAATAAATAAAATAAATAAATAAGGGTTTACCTTAAGCCTTGAATGGAAGTGTTTGAGCAGATTTCCTTCGACGAGGGTTTCGCGCTCGAAATTAAAAAGGAAAGAAAGAGGACCCTCCGTCTTTAGGTCGTAAACCCTAATTAAATAGATAAATAAATATAAATAAATAAATTAATTAATATATTTAATTATATTTTATTTTATTTGTTATAGGTAAAAAAAGGGAAGAAAAATGATATGCGCATGCACAAACGCAAAAGTTATTGGATATATAACCACAATATAGCTGGCTGTCTAGGGTTTAGGGTTTAGGGTTTAGGGTTTAGGGTTTGAGGGTTTAGTACTTTATGTATATCTTTAAAAAGGCAATCACACGTCGCATCAAAGCCACAAAATGTTCAGCCCGGCGGATACTCCCAGGAGTGGCCTGAGATAAACACCCGTAAACCCTAAACCCTAAACCCTACCAACATAGGCATAGACAATAACTACCCTAAATACCAACCCCTTAAACACTAAACCCTAAACAGCCTGCATCCTACCACAGCAAGATGCCAATTCGGGGGGAGAAGGGTTTACAGGGTTTAGGGTTTAGGGTTTAGGGTTTGAGGGAGGTTATGAATACCTCTTCAACAACATCCGAAGGTAAGACAGGGTTTGCTAAAGCTTGAAATGTCTCGGGTGTCACGGTTACCCGCTGCAGTTGCTGCGACTGCTGCTGCTGCTGCTGCTGCTGTGGCTGCGATGAATCCTGCGACTGCTGCTGTTGCTGTTCTTGCAGTTGCAGTTGCTGCTCACGCCGCCGTTGCTGCTGCAGCTGCATGCCCTGCAGCAACTGTTGATATTCTGCACGTAGCCTCTCCGAGTCCTGCGCTTTGCGCCTGCAGCAACAGCAGCAACAGCAACAGCCGTGGTAGCAACTCAAAAGAGCGGCAACAAGAGCAGCAGCACGAGCAGCAACAGCAGCAGCAGCACCACTACCACCCCCATCAACAGAATCAGCACCATCATCAGCATACCCACAACAACAACCAGCAACACCACCACCACCACCACCACAAACAGCAGCAACAACCAGCAGCAGCAACAGCAGCAGCACCACCACCACCAACAGCAGCAGCAGCAGCAGCAGCGGCAGCAGCGGCAGCAGCAGTACAACTAATTACCTTTTAATGTCTTCACTAAGTTCCGTAAGATTCTTTATAGCCTGATCTAATGTATTCTTATTGAGGTGTACAGACAGGGCCTCTATGCATACATTATCTATATTGTGTGCCTCGTCAAATACAACTACAGAGGCCCCTATATCTGCTGCTGCTATCCAATCATCCTGCTGCTGCTGCTGCTGCTGCTGATCGGGTTGCTGCTGCTGCTGCTGCTTCTGATTGCGTTGATATAAACGCTCTTGAGCTGCTGTACGAGAAAAACCCACCAAATGGGGGCCCCCAGGGTACGAACCTAGGGGGCCCCCACCACCAGCACCAGATGGACCAAATACTGCTGCCTGCAGCAGAAGCAGTAACAGCAGCAACGGCAGCAGCAGCAGCAGCAACAGCAGCAGGAGAAAGAGGAGAGTTAAAGCATGTCATAGCAGTACAACCAAAGACAGCAGCAAATCGCTATCAACGCCAATCCTAGACCAATAGCAGCAGCAGCAGCAGCAGCAGCAGCAGCAGCAACAGCAACAGCAGCAGCAACAGCAGCAGCAACAGCAGCTTACTTCGGAGACTTTAGGATCAATAAGGTATTGATAATTCAATACAACTACATTAGCTACCTGCAGCAAACGACGAGCTAAGAAATAAGGACAAAGAGGAAGAGAGCGCTGCAGCAAAGGATGACGCCATCGGACTGCTGCTGCTTTCAATTCCTCTAATGTATAGACACCTGAAACCACAAACCCTAAACCCTAAACCCTAAACCCTAAACCCTAAAAAATTTTTAATGTGTAATTGCATGGGGAATGTATTATTTATAAGAAAGAAAAACTATTTGGGTAATATTTACTTTATATATAAATCCTAAACCCTAAACCCTAAACCCTAAACCCTAAACCCTACCTGCTGGGAAATGTTGAGGGGCGAAATATTCATCAAAGTTTTCATAAAAAGCGCAAAGACCATCAGGTGTATCTCCTGTCCCGATGTCTTCAATATCTGTTGCTGCTGCTGCTGCTGCTGCTTGTGCTGCTGCTGCTTCTGCTGAAGTTGCTGCAGAGCTATCCGCTGCCGTTGTTGAGGTACCATTTGCTGCACCTTCCCCTTCCACACCGTTGCTGCTGCTGCTGCTGCTGCCGTTGCTGCTGCTGCTGCTCCCGTTGCTGCTGCTGCAGCTGAAGGTGTGGCGAGCGTGTCGGCGGTCTAGTACATCTTGACGTACCCATGGTGCCGTTCTCTTGCGGCCTGCAGCAGGAGCAACAACAGCAGCAGGAAATGCAGCAGCAATAGATGCAGCAACAGCACTATATGCAGCAGCAGGAGGGCATCTGTTGCCCTCATCCTTGGGGTCTATCCGCGTCCTTTCTAATAGTGTCCATTAAGATATTAGGGTTTAGGGTTTAGGGTTTAGGGTTTACATCCTTCATCAATTTTTTCTCTTTCTCCTGATCTAAGGACAGCAGAATTTGCGCAAAGACTTCGACGCGCAGATAGACCAACACCCAATATATATCCAGCATCTGTACACAAACCCTAAACCCTAAACCCTAAACCCTAAACCCTAAACCCTAAAACTTGAATACTAAGCCTTAGGAGTGCAGATAGCTGTTCCACACTTGAGGATCTTCAGCAGCAGCGGTTGCAGCTGCTGCTGCAGCTGCGGCTGCTGCTGTTGCTGCAGCAACTCACCTCTCATCTTTTTCCCCAGCAAGGGGGCCTCTGTTGGTGCCCGAGGTTGTTGCTGCAGCTGTTGCTGCCCTTGCTGCTGCCCTTGCTGCTGCCCTTGCTGCTGCTGCTGCTGCTGCTGCTGCTTCTCCTTTTCTATTTCTTTAATTCTGTAATCAATTACCATCTTTAGCTCGAGCAATGCCTTTTCCATTTCCGCAACCTGCGGCAGCAGTAGCAGCAGCACGAGCAGCAGCAGCAGCAATAGCAGCAGGGGCTGGCAGGAGGACAACTGCCTGTTGCTGTCTATAGGCTGGTGCAGCAAGGAAACCGCCAGTAGCAGCAGCAACAGCAGCAGCAGCAGCATCAAGCACGCGTTGAAGACAGTCTAGTCCTCAAACCCTAAACCCTAAACCCTAAACCCTAAACCCTAAACCCTTACAGTTCGTGTGCAATAGATGATACGACCCATTGAAGGGTCTGCAAATTGCATGGATGTTAAAATAGACATCATAGCCGCCGTCTTCCCTGCAGACCCCAAAAAACCTCCCAAAACCCTAAACCCTAAACCCTAAACCCTTGATACAATCCATGAATCGTCCTCCCTACTACTATTCCTCCCTCCCTCCATCCCTCCCTCCTTCCTTCCCTCTCCCCTTTATTCTTTCCTCCCTTACCCTATAGTACATAACACCTGTTTATTAGTATAAATTACATTAAATAAGAGTAAATAAGAGTAAATATGAGTAAATAAGAATAAATTAGGGTTTAGGGTTTAGGGTTTACCAGTTCCTGTAGGCATTTCGAGTACAGCATGACCTTGTAATTGTACAGTTCTTTTGACGGCTCGAATATATGCGAATTGTTCGGCATAAATAAAATCGTATGGAAAATAAACTCGAATTCCTTCTAGATCAAATACCACCATTTTCTTATAATACTATTATTATTCTTTTTGCTTATGCTGCTGCTGCTCCTGCTCCTGCTCCTGCTGCTGCTCTTGTTGCTGCTCCTGTTAATTCTCCTGTTGCTGCTGTTCCTGTTCCTCTTGTTGCTGATTATTATTATTATTATTATTATCGTGGTGATGGTGGTGGTGATGGTGGTGGTGGTGGTGTTATTTATAATGGTGGTCCTGCTGTTGCTGTTGCTGCTGCTGCTGATGATGATGATGATGAGGGTGGAGCTGAAGCAGCAGCAGCAGCTGCTGCTGCTGCAAATATACTTGGTGCTCTCTTTTTAATACAGTTAAGACAGGGAGTGGGGTCGTGCTGCTGCTGCTGCTGCTGCTGCAAGCTGCAGCTGCAGCTGCTGCTGCAGCACGCTCCTGCTGCTGTTCACCTTTACGTTATTGCCTGGTGAAATCTTTCCTGCTGCTGTAAATACGAATGCCGGAGTCAGCAACTTGCTGCTCCCCTGATCTTGCTGCTGCTGCTGCTGCTGCTGCTGCAGATTCTGCTGCTCCAGCAGCCGATTCTGTTGCTGCGGTTGTTGCCGTTCTAGCGTTGTTAATGCTGCTGTACTGACCACTGATGCAGTCTATACAGAAGCCCCAATATTGTTAGTGGGTATTCCTACTGCTGCTGCTGCTACTGTTGCTGCTGCTCCCGCCTCGATTGCTGCTGTTCCTTGTGATGTTCCTGCTACTGCAGCAGCAGCTACACGTCAGCAAGTCCCTGCTACTAGCAGTAGGGACGTCGAGAATATCTGCAGCAACATTTACCCTTCCCCTGTTGCTGCTGCTGCTGCCGACTGTGCCAACTTCCTGCTGCGGCTGCTGTTGCTGCTCCTGCTGCTGCCGACTGCGTCAAAGTTCTGCTGCTGCAGCTTCTGCTGCTGCTGCTGCTGCTCGATTTAAATTGCTGCATCTGTTTTGCATTAATAAGACAGCGCATGCAATTAAAAAGAGCCCTTAGGTTGTGGGCTCCTTAGAAGGTAGAAGCAGCAGCAGCAGCAGCAGCAGCAGCAGCCGCAGCGTGCATGCGCTGATCCTTGCGTCTTCGGGCCCCACAGTTATCAGCAATTTGCGTTAAAGAAATTTCTTTTTTTTTGCTTTTTTTATTTATTTTGCCTAATAAACCCTAAACCCTGTACTTAATATTGGCCACAAACTCTAAACCCTAAACCCTAAACCCTAACCCCCTACCTTATAGTATGCCGAGTGTTTAGGGTTTGGAGCTTATAATTTAATTAAACATTAAACCCTAAACACTCAGCCGTAATCCAAAAATTCCCGAACCCTAAACCTTAAACTCTAAACCCTAAGTCGTAAACCCTAAACCCTAAACCCTAAACCCTAAACCCTAAACCCTTCTGACCTCCCATGTCCAACAATAGCGCCTCGAAGAATATCCTCGTCTACTAGCTAGCTAGCTAAATGGCTAACTAGTTATATAGCTGGGTAGCTAGCTGGCTAGCTAGGTGGCTGGCCAGCTAGGTGGCAGATAACTGCAGGTGCCGCTGCTGCTAGCGAAGTACTAAGAAGAAAGAGGCACCAACTCAGGAGGGAGTTGTTACATGACGAGGGTCTAGGGTTTAGGGTTTAGAGGAGGGCAGGCTTTGTGGGGTTTGTGTTGTTGCTGCCTTGGTGTTGTTTTCTTTGTATATTTGCTGCCTCTAGACCTTCCTCTACTCTCTAAACCCTAAACACTAAACCCTAAACACTAAACCCTAAGCCCTCTCCGTGTTCTATTGCTGGGGGCGTCCTTGCTAGGCCCTTAGCCTCTGAGTTTGTGTTGTTCCTAAACGAACGAGGGTTTAGGGTTTAGGGTTTACGGTACAAATAGCGTTTCCTAGGGTTTTGGTGTTTTAGGGTTTAGGGTTTAGGGTTTAGGG